CTATTTACTTATATATATACATATATATATATATATATATATATATATATATATATATATATAATTTGTTACACCAAAATGTTAAGATAAAAATTTGGAGGTACATCTTAATTGGATTGTTTAAAATTGCAACTTTATAGAAACCACACCCTTTTAAAAAAAAGAGAGAAATTCTAAGACGACAAAACAAAACTCTAAAATGAAAATTATTCAGTACTTTTTTAAAGTGATGGGTTACATGGGTGGATTACTAGAAACAAGTATTTCAAAAAATGTTGACCCAGATCGAAATCGGTTGGAAAATGGAACTACGACTCGTCTGAGAGGCTCCTAGAGTTTTTAAAAGAATCGGATCATTCAAAAGGATTGGGCCTAATTCCCCTATAATTTACTTTCTTATTTTAAAATATTGGAATGTTATTGTAATATTTTTTTACTAGGGACATTCAAATCCGATCTGAGCCAAATCACCAATCCGAGCTAATCTAGCAAGTGACTAGGTCAGGCCGATCCATTTTTTAGAACACCGCATGCACCTGTAGGGTAAATTGCTGATCGCCCTCTTGTTTCAATGTTAGCAATCACCCTCTTGTCTATTTAAATGGATGACTAGGTTAAGACTATGAAACAAAAAGATTGATCCAAAAGCATGCCTTTAACGCAGTGTAACCTTAGTAAAAGTTCACTCATCTTGTGCCATTTGGAGATTATTTTGAGGGCATGTTTGTTTTCCGGAAGACGCACTTTTAGAAACTATGTCTTTTAGGAAAGTAGATACTACAACTTCACTAGTCACTCATTGAACTTGTGATATCCACTTTTTAATGTTAAAATTAATGTAAGTAGATATTGTAATAACCAGTTTTAGTGTAGCACTTCTCGTTATCACATATGAAAGTGCTACAGTACTGGAAGACGTGATATCCAAAACTACATCTTCCAAAAATCAAACAACCCGACAAAAAAAAATCCAAAAATTGAGTCATTGGGGGTACATGGAACCATCTACACATATTTGTAATCAATATTTGTTTTGGCAAAGGCATCATGTTTATGATTAAAAATAATAAAATAAAACATTTAATTATGGATTAACCAAAAAACATAAATTAAAAAAATTTAATTACGGATTAACCAAAAAACATAAATTAAAAAATCTTTTTTGAATAAAATCACCAAGTCTTCATTGACATGATTGAGTCATTGGGGGTCGATGGAACCATCTCCACATATTTGTAATCAATATTTGTTTGGAAAAAGCATCATTATGATTAAAAATAATAAAATAAAACATTTAATTACTGATTAACCAAAAAACATAAATTAAAAAATCTGTATTGAATAAACTCACCAAGTCTTCATTGACATGATTGAGTCATTGGGGGTCCATGGAACCATCTCCACATATTTCTAAGCAGTTTTTTTTGGCAAATCCATCATATTTATCAATCCCACGAAATATGGGATTTCTTTATGGTAGTGATTTTGAATAACACAAAATCTAACATTTGCGACCCCTAATTCTTCCGGCTATAAAAATCATCAAGTATACAAATAAGAGTAATTTTGTAGATGATTTCATCGTCTCGACCAGCAAGGCAAATGCCCCATTAAAAAAGTAGTATAAAAGTGAAAGTCTTGAGGCATTAGGTTTAGGAGAGCACATAGACGATGAGAAAAAGGAAAATGCAAAGAATAATTTGATTATAAATGAAAACGGAAATGATTACCTTCATATTTTCCATTGCTTTCTTTGACGATGATGGCAGTTGAGCTGTAAACACAATAGAGATAAACTGGAGGGGAAACAATCAAGAGAGAGATTGTTAAGCAGATAGAAAGGCGAGGAAGAAGAGCTCATTTAGATCTTATAGTAACGAAAAGAACTTACAGAGAGAAGAACTTACAAAGAAAGAGAGTACTGACCGAAGGATTTTTATTTATTCATTAAGAGTAGGTTTAAAGATGTTTCATATCGTTTCACCCTATCAATAGTTGAAGATTTCTCTTTCTTCTTTGAGTGTAATAGATAAGTTTCATTACCCTATTTTGGGGCAAACAGATGGGAATTCTTTTGCAAGAGTTCAACATTTGGCAAACTTGGCAGAGATATAAATAAAGCATTAATTGCCATATTTTATTTTAATTTTGAACCACACTCATTTAAAATTTGAACAAATCTATATGTTGTATATATAAAACACCACATGGTTTGGACACCAGTTCTACATTTGGCAAACTTGGCAGAGATATAAATAAAACATTAATTGTCATATGTTATTTTAATTTTAGACCACATTCATTTAAAATTTAAATGAATCTATATGTTGTCACATATAAAGCACTACATGGTTTGGACACCGTGTCACATTCAATAAATGCCAAAGCGAGGTTTGGGGTTAGAGTTGGTGCAATGACATTTGACTATTCATGAAACTTTGTATTAACATAATAGGTGAAATTTGTATAAGGTGGCAACCTTGTACTATTGATGTAAGGTGCATCTCAAAACTATGACAAAAATGTAATTTCCACACTGCAGAGTTTTGTGATAATATGAAAATTTATTGCTACCCCCAATTATTAAATTTAAGTTTTACAAATTTGGGTGATCAAGCAGATCAATGAACACGTAAAAATTGATGGTCCATATAATGTGTTACAAGATGAACTATTT